GTTCCTTGTATAACTGACTTAGTAAAGAAAGACTTATATAAATACCAGCTCATTAATTGTATAGATACGGCGAGAAATAAATGATATACAAAAATTAAGTTTTTCCCTCTCTCTGTTCTCTCTCGCTTTTCCCGCTTAGTTTCTTGTTTCTTTCAAGCTTAACATGGTATCGTAGCTGTTTGAATCCGAGAAAGCTTCTTTCATTTTTCTTCTCTCTACTAGATTTATCAATTAGCTGGGTGATTATTCAATCCTAGTGTTTTTCCTTTCTTGAAGAAAATCGCACCAAATCATGGAAAATCAAACAGAAAACCCTAGGTTCTCTAATGCGAATCGCATTCCTACCGCACCTAGAGATTTCAATGACCCACTCTTTCTACATCCTTCGGATACACCTAATTTGATTCTTGTTAATCATTTGCTCCAAGGAGAAGAGGATTATAGCTCATGGAGTAAGGCTATGGTGATATCTTTGGAAGCTAAGAGTAAGGATGGGTTCATCAATAGAAGATGTTCAAGATCGGATTCCGAATCCGATGATTTTGCTTAATGGAAGGAATGCAACGCATTGGTACATGCTTGGTTACTTAACTCGTATCTCGCTCAATTGTTCAATAGTTTAGTCTATTATCAAGATGATGTGGACGTATGGAAAGATTTCAAGGAGAGATTTGATAAGCAACATGGAGCAAAAATCTTCTCCTTGCATAAAGAAATCAACTCCTTAACTCAAGGTTCGGACTCTATTGTGATATACTACTCCAAGTTAAGGCATGTTTGGGATCAACTAGATTCATCGATTCCTCTTCCACTCGCATTTGTCCACATTGCAATCATGAAGTCTCTCAACCTTTTGTTGCATATACTCAGCAACATAAGGTAATGCAATTCTTGATGGGGTTGAATGACAACTTTCAAGTCGTGCGGTCTCAAATCCTATTAATGCAGCTCGATGCCAACACATTCACGAGCATATTCAATAGTATCTAATGAGGAATCTCAAAGAGGAATTAGTTCCAGTTCTAGTTCACAAGTGCCTACTCGCTTTTTTCTCTTCTAGAAATCGGTATTCATCAAAACAAGTTGTCGATAGAGGTCCATGGACACTCGAATCGACGAGAATTAGTTTGTGCTTATTGCCATACATCCGGACATCCGAAAGAAACTTGTTACAAGCTACATGGATACCCCAATCCCTCTGAAGACCTTTTAGAAGCAATAAAGGTGGACACAGGGGTGGTTATGCTAGTGGTCGGAGAACTTTTAATGCTCACAATGTGAGCTATCTAGAAAATTCCGGAGCATTTACAAGAGCTATAGTTCGTGCGCCTACGAAGTCGCTATGTTTAACAATCCGGCATCTAAAAATTCATCCGAGCAAATTACGAGCAAACTTACTTGAGTAAGCCTCCGGTTTTCACACCTCACCAATATCGGCAAATACTTGACTTATCGTCGAGGGATTCGAAGAAGGTAGTCCGACTGCGATACCAACTCGCCAATATGAGAGGTACATTCTTTTGTAGTTTATTGAATGTGAGTTGTGAAAATGATGATAAGTGGATTGTTGACACCGGTACTAATGTTCATATGACTGGGAAACTTGCTTGCTTACTTAATCCTACTAAATTAGCATCCAATCTTACCGTGAGATTACCTAATGACACTATGACCCTTGTTACTCATGTAGGTTACGTCGGTTTGTCAAATTTTACTCTTCAAAACGTTTCATATCTATCGAATTCAAATTCAATTTGTTGTTAGTGGCTCAATTCACTGCCGATAACAATTGTTTAGCTTGCTTTTACCCCGATCTTTGTCTATTTCAAGACGTACGGATCTGGAAGGACAAAGGGGATTGGTAAAAATCACAATGGCCTTTATCATGTCATACCAGCTCACTTTGCACTCTTCACTGTCTCAAATTCATGTAATAACAGTTCCTCTTCTAGTTCTTCAAATTCAAATTGTAATTTGAACAGTCATTTTTTAATCAGTCTAAATCTCATTGTGCACCTACCGCTTGTAAAACAAGTTGTATATCTAATATAGCCCTATGGCACAAACGTTTTGGTCATATCTCCTTGTCTTGTCTTAAGTTGATTCTAGATATTTCTATACCTTCCGGTCATGAATTTTTTTATGATGTTTGTCTTCTTGCAAAACATACTAGATTACCTTTTCCTCATAAAACATCAAATACCCAATTTCCTTTTGAACTTGTCTATATGGACATATGGGGTCCTTATAAGCATTCAACCTACTCGTCAAAAAAGATTCTTTCTCTCCATTGTTGATGATTTCTCTAGGGGAACTTGGACCTTCCTTTTACAACATAAGTCGCAAGCTCTCACTTTAGTCAAACATTTTTTTCTCTTATCCATACATAATTTTCTGTTTCCATTCGTAAGGTTAGAACGGACGGAGGCTCGAATTCCTTCAACATGCCCGTCAAGAGTTCTTTTTACTCATGGTGTTATCTATGAAACTACTATTCCTTACACTCCTCAGCAAAATGGAGTTGTAGAAAGGAAGCATAGACACATCCTTGACATTGCACGAGCTCTCATGTTTCAATCCCATGTTCCAATCCAATTCGAGGGGATTGTATTCGACTTCTACTTACATCATTAATAGGACTCCTACTCCTCTTTTGCATGGCAAAACACCTTTTGAAGTTTTGTTTTGTAAACCTCTAATCTATTCTCACCTCGGAATTTTTTGTTGTCTCCGTTATGCAAAAATCCTACCTTGCCAAGATAAATTTACTCATAGATCTATAGCTTGTCTTTTTTAGGCTATCCTTACTCCCAAAAGGGCTACGAGTCTTAGATTTAGCTACTCATAAAGTTTTTGTATCTAGGGATGTTTTGTTTCATGAAAGTCTATTCCCTTTTCATCCTTCCTTTAAACCTATGTCTCAATCCTCCAATATCCATATTGGTCATCCCGTTGATCAATGGATATATGATGATGATTCCACATTTTTTTCTAGTCTTACCTCTCCTTCCACTTATACAAACACTGCTTCACTATCTCCTTCCCTTGCATCATCTACTTCAGAATCATCTCCTTCTACTCATCCTTCCCAATTGCCTTCTTTTCCTTCGTTATGTTGCTGTTCATAAATCTATAAGAGCAACCAAACCTCCTTACCGGCACACTAATTTTGCTTGTCCTACCATCCATACTTCAAATTGCAACACTCGTCTCTTCTAATCCTAAGTATTTTATTCACAACTTTGTTTCCTATGATTCCCTCTCATCTTGTCAGTCGGTTTTGCATCATCTCTTTCTTCTATTTGAGAACCTACCTCATATTTAGAAGTCGTTAAGAATCCTAAGTGGATAAATGCTATGTAACGAGAATTACAAGCACTTAAGTTTAATAGGACTTGGACACTAGTTCCTTTGCCAATAGGTAAACGTCCCATCGGGTGCAAATGGGTATATAAAGTGAAATTTAATCCTGATGGGAGTGTGGAGAGATATAAAGCTAGATTGGTGGCTAAAGGCTATACTCAATTAGAGGGGGTAGATTATAGTGATACCTTCTCACTCGTTGTAAAAATGGTTACTTGTTCGGACGAGTGGTAGCTTTGGCGACCATACATGGATGGTCTTTACATCAATTAGATGTGACAAATGCCTTCTTACAAGGTGATCTTTTAGAGGAGGTGTATATATCGGTCCCACTGGCTTTGGCGATAGGGGGAGGGCCTAGTATGTAAGTTGCTTAAGTCCCTTTATGGCTTGAAGCAAGCTTCAAGGCAATGGAATTCAAAATTTACAGAGAAAATGTTACTTGCTGGTTATGATCAATCTCAACATGATTATTCCATTTTCACCAAGTGAGTAAATGGTAAGATAGTTGTCTTATTGGTATATGTGGATGACATTTTGATCATCGGTGATGATGAAGATGGTATACAAGCACCGAAGTCTTTTCTTCATCATACTTTTTACATCAAGAATCTTGGTCCTTTGAAATATTTTTTGGGTTTAGAAGTAGCAAGATCCAAGGTAGGTATTTGTCTTAATCAACGAAAATATCCTTTTAAGTCGTTACATGATGCAGGTTTACTTGGTTCTAAGCCGGTGGAGATGCCTCCGGAATAGAACTTGAAACTTACCTCGCTTGCATATGATACTTGCTTTGTTAATAAGGTCTCGGATGATATGGCTACTACTTGTCTAGATGAAACTTTAGTCGATCCTACCGAATATCGGAGACTTGTGAGTAAACTCATATACCTCATGGTTACTCGCCCATATATATGCTATGTAGTCTAAATCCCGAGTCAATTTATGCATGCACCTAAGACTTCTCACATGAACTCTACCTTACGAGTTCTTCGATATCTCAAGGGTACACTCGGTTTTGGCATCATGTTGTCTTCTTCCAGTCGGCTTCATCTTCAAGTTTATTGTGATTCGATCGGGCTTCTTGTCCCATGACAAAGAAGCCCCTTATCGGTCTTCGCTTGTTTCTTGGTTCTTCTTTGATCTCATGGAAGACCAAGAAGCGAACACCATCTCTCGATCCTCCGCTGAAGCCGAGTATCGTGCTATGGCAGCTCGCTGCGTGCGAACTTGTTTGGCTAGTAGGCCTATTGTAGGAGTTAGGTGTCTCTTGTTTAGGAGCTGCTGATTTCTTTTATGACAACAAGGCTGCTCTTCATATAACTTTTAATCCAGTCTTCCATGAACGCACTAAGCACATCGAAATCGATTGTCACTTAGTTCGGGAGAAGCTCAAAGTCGAGTTAATCAAACCCGCCTATGTGCCTTCGTTGATCAAGTCGCGGATCTCTTCACCAAAGGGCTTGGCAATAAGCAACATCAATAGCTTCTCTCCAAGTTGGGTGTTTATGACATATATAAACCTCCAACTTGAGGGAGAGTATTGAGAATATAATTAATGTTAGTTGTTAGTTAGTAGTTTGTTATAGGTTAGTTATATTAGTTCCTTGTATAACTGACTTAGTAGAGAAAGACTTTTATAAATACCAGCTCATTAATTGTATAGATATGGCAGAAATAAATGATATACAAAAATCAAGTTTTTCCCTCTCTCTGTTCTCTCGGCTTTTCCTGCCTAGTTTCTTGTTTCTTTCAAGCTTAACAATGTTTTCATTCACAATTTGCCCCATTACTTTTGCCGCTAATGGAACACCCCCACATGCCTGCATGATTTCGTTTTTGAGACCATCCATGTTCATGAAATTAAATGGTGTTTCATCTTGCTGAATTGAATCCATGAATATAGACCAGCAGCTCTCTGAATCTGAAAGGGGCGGATGGTAATGCACATTTTCCTCTCCAACCATCTTCTTTGCAAATTCCTTGTTCCGACTTGTAACAATGACTGTTCCTCCACATCCTTTCGGCACCGCATATGCAAGGCGTTCCTTCCACTTGCCATTGTGAGGTAAGGAAGAATTCAACTGTCCGTACCACTCATCTCCATCGCAAACATCATCAAACACAATCAGATATCTCTTGCCTCTCAGCCGCACGTAAAGAGCGTACAGCAATCCAGATAGCCCATGTTTTTCAGAAACGGAACTCACGATCCCTTCTTTAACTCCAAGCGATTGCAACATTCTTCGGACAGTTTCTATCTTCTGATCCAAACCTCTATTGGGTTTTACGGATAAGCTTACCCATATCCTGAGAACAAAGTGGTTCCTCACTTCTAGTCTGGTCAGAAGTACCTGACAAAGTGTGGTTTTTCCAGTACCAATCATCCCCACAATTCCAACCGCCTTGAACTTATCATTACTCCCATCTCGAACAAGCATGCCCTCTAAAGACATTATCTCATCTCCGAAGCCATAAACCTTGGATGGATCTATTGATCGATAACTCCAGTTGGGATTTTCTTTCACATCAGACGAGGTCAACAGACCATCTAGGGGTGAACTAACATTTCCCATTCGAACTTCGTTGGATTCCGTATGGTTTTTGAGCCTCTCCATGATCTTTTTAAAATTCAGCTTAATTTTATTCTTGAGAAAGATTAAGGAATGCTTACTTGATCTTGTCTGATTTCCAGTCAGAACATTATCAGTCACAATATTCTCCAGTTCTTCAAATTCACCGTCCAAGCCAGCTTCACTAGATTGAACATCTTCCCTAACCTTTTGATAAGTTGGATAGCTTTCAATCTCCTCGCCATATCAGCAGCCTCTCTGTCGACTTCCCTTCCCAAGATCGGACTATTTCGGAATTTTTAGCTTAGGTAGGGGGAAGAGGGTTTAGATTTTGCTTTAGTATCATTGCTTGGAAAATCGCCGAGGGAGGAAAGAAACTTAAAACAAATTTTAAATGATAGAAACTGAAGAAGTAAATCTAAGGGAATCTTCAATTTAGTTTCAAATCTATATACTCATTTTCAATTAAATCCTAAACTTATAAATTTTATCAATTAGATCCCAAACTTTTCAAAAAAATTCTCAATATGTCTTTTCTTAATGTTTATCAGTTTTTTTTTGTCAAATTTTCTCCAAAATAATGTCTTTTTAATGAATAAATATGCATATTAAACCAACAATATTAATGTTTATTAACTTTTTAATGAACACCATTTTAGTGAAAAAAAATATATATATGTACTTTATACATAAACTATTAAAAGAATTTGACAAAAGAACACGGTTGATAAATATAGAAAATATTTGAGATTTAATTGATAAAATTTATAAGTTTGAAAAAAGCAATTGAAAATAATACATAAGTTTATGACTAAAACGAGATTTCCCTTAGGAGTACAAATATAGTAAAAGTTTAAAATAGGAAACCTTTTATTTTATTTTATTATTGTTATAAGGAAATTCACCTTTTTATTTGATAGTACCGAGAAACGAGTAAAGTGTTGTTTGGTAATTAAAAAATAGAGTGGTGAGAATGAGAATGAAAATTTCATTCTCACCTTATAACTCGTTTAGTTGAAAAGAATAAAATGAGAATGTGAATAAAGAGTAAGAATGAGAATGAGAATGAAAATGAAAATGAAAATTACATACAATGTCATTCTCATTTAAAATGTGAGAATAAAAACAGAAAATATGAATGATTTTTTTTCAAAATAATAATATATTTTATCTATTTATTGTATATTAAATACTTCTACCACCACCACCACAAGCATCACCATCATCACATTTGTTATTTTTACAATCTTTGTAGTTTGATAAATTTATTTTTTTAATCATTATTTTTATTTATATAAAAAATTATACATTAAAAAAATTTAAATTGCATTCCAATTACTTATTAGTATTCCAAACATAATATGAGAATACAAATAACATTTCGATTTTTTAATTTTCATTTCGATTTCTAGAATGACACCTAAAAGATCTTGCATACGTTGGTCTAAAGAGGTAGCTGCAAATCAATCCCTATGTATTTTGTGTTTGGGTAAAATTCACTTTATCTTTATACCATCTAATATTATTTATTTTAATCATTTTATTTAAATATAGTATAAAATAAATTTTATATTATTGAACATTAAAACAAACTCGTTCTTTCATATACTTTTACTAACCATATGTCTTCATATAATTAGTTAAATGTAAAATCGAAGGATTGATTTATTCTAATGTTTAGTAGTATATAATTTATTTCATACGATATTTAAATAAAAATTTTAAATAAAAAATACAAAACTAAAGTTTCAAATATTACGACTCTTCAGTCCTTTAACTATTAAAAATTATTAACCAGTCGTTAAAATCAATGTTATTGCACATGCTCCGCAATAAATATTTCTTCCATTTTGACACTAAATTCTTCATAGATATAACAAAACCAATTAAAAAAAAAAATTCAACATCACCGAAAAAGAAAAAATCAAAACCTCACAATAGAAATCTCACATTTAACATTAGTTTTTATTCCCTAAATCTTTAAATTCTCACACGTCATCAACGTCTTGGTCAAATTCCTCATTCTTGCACACAAAATTCCATGTTTCTAACACAATTTAACAAATTCATTTCAAATAATAACCTTATTTTATGAACATACAATTGCTTCTCAATTAATCAATCAAAACATTATCTTTCAAATTACCTGCGACTCAAAAATCCAAATTTGAATGCAATTCATCCCTTAGGGTTGAGGTTAAGGGTGAGCATTCGTTAAACGGTTCGGTTTTGTACGATTCGGTTCGGTTCTTGGTTAACCGAATTAAAAAAAATAAAAACCAAAACCGAACAGAAATAAATTCGGTAAATTTGGTTTGTAACCAAATTATTTCGGTTTGGTTTCGAAATATTTCGGTTTTAACCGAAATATTTTACTATAAAAAAAATCATTACGGAGAGATGTTTTGTACTAGCACTTAGTCCACTAGCCAATAAAGTAACATCTTGTTATCAATTAATTCTTTTTATAAACAATCACAAAGCCATTGAAGATTTTAACTAAGCTTTAATGAAAACGAGTTCAAGTGTAATAAATTTGCTCATTCAAACACACTCGTATCCTAATTAATTATACTCTGTCACTTTTTTTCTTACCCCAACGATTCTCAAAATTTACTTCCTATCTGCGTGTTTCGGTTTCAACAAGAATGAAGATTGAAAAGTTAGGGATTTAGAAATTAGGAAATTGTTTACTTTTTATTTCGGTTTTCGGTTGAAATCGAAATTTTTTTCTAAAAACCGAACCGAACCGAAATAATTTCGGTTTTTTCGATTCGGTTTTATATTATATAATTTTATATTTAAAACCGAACCAAATTTCATAATTCGGTTCGGTTTTATTCGGTTTTCGATTAATCGAACTGTTTGCTCACCCCTAGTTGAGGTAGGTAATGTGCTGATGGTGTCAACGAAGGTGAAATTGAGATTTTTTTCTTTTGTTTGGTTTCTCCCAATCAATTTGCATCAAATAATTCTATTGATGTTGTGGATCCTACACGGCACTAAAGTGACATTTTGGACTGAATTTCTCCCTAGGCGTTTCTGTTGGGAGGGTCCACTTTAATATATATATATATATATATATATATATATATATATTCTTTTTAGCTTTTCATTCAGATTAAAAAAAATATTAATTATTATATTATATTAATATTTTTTGTTTTTATTTTTTCAAAAAACATATAAATTTTTTTAGAAATGGACAATCTTTTACAAAATAAATTTTAATTTGAAGTATTTTAAAAAAATAAGTCACCTAAAATTTTAACAAAAAATATTTAGAACAAATATAAATAAAAAATACAATATCTGAGAAAGAGAAAATAATAAATTAGTTAATTATGCTTTTTGACTCAGGTGAATTACAGTTTGAAAAGAAGCCAAAAGAAACATATGGTCGCTCCTTACCAATCTCCAATACATTGTGGAATACATTACCATAAGGATTCTTGATTTTTTAAGCTTCACTGTGGACTTTTCTAGTTCTGTTCGTATGCTTTACAGCTGCAAATATCTGTAATTTTTTTGTTTTTTTCAAATTTGCTAAGCTTGATTGGACTCCTCTCAAACAGGCAATATATTATTTTCATTGCCCCAATACCAACAGTGATGATGGTGACGACCAGTGGCATAGGATCTCTTTCTTTTATAATATCTGGGGGACCAGGCACCATAAACTTTTCACTTTAAGAACTGCTACAATTACTTCAAATAACTAATTATAACTTCATTTTTTTTTAACGTAAAAGTTAAATATTTTTGTTTATGTAATTTATTTACAGGAAAAATATGAACAAAAGAAGTAAATTGATGGTCACTTCAAATCGTGGAAGAAAAAAACCTAAACTTCTCTTTCTTACAAGATAACGATCTTGTGGTTTAGGCACTTGCTTCCAATTATATCGCAATAATATCCCAATCAATTTTCAGTAAATGAACTGTGAATAAAAACATTTCTGCTTCATGCTGGAATAAAAAAGAGTCCAAACTAGCTCAAATGATGCAATGGATAGAATGTTCCATAAACTGCTATATATATAGCCTTGGATACTTATAGTTCAAAAGTTGATTTATATTTGAAGTTTTAAAAAAATTCTAAAACTACGTCATTTTTATCATTATCATTATCATCATCATTATTATAATTAGTTTTTTTATTTTTATTGCTATAATAGTTTATGAAATTATTTTTTAATCATTATTTTTATTTATTTTAAAAATTAAATATTAAAAAATTTAATTTTTATTATTATTTTAAATATAATATGAAAATATAAATATTATTTTATTTTTTTAATTTTTAATTTAATTTTTGTATTTTTATATCAAACTTTTCATTCTTCGTAATTGAATGAGACTTAAAAAGTTGGTCTAGTAGTTAAAAAAAATTTGTTTTCTTTCTTAACTTTTAAGATTCAAACCTTTAATTCACCGCCTGAGAAAATTTATTAAAATTCTCTAAATACATTCTTACATACATTTTTTTTTTATTAATTGATGCATAAGCTTGTATAAATGTATCTTTATTATACCAAAAAATTATAAAATAAGTAAATATTAAGTTGTGAAAACTGATGTGAAAATGACATGTAGTTTAATACGTTACTTAGAGTTAATTTATCAATCTTGCTAATTGTAAAAGTCAGTAAAGGCCTTTTTAATAATTTTATTTGTTTACATTATAAATATAAATAATATTTTTTATATTTATAGCTGATCGAAAAATTTAATAAAGACTTCTAATATAGCCGTGAAATAAGCCTACTTACCAAACCACATAAATCTTACATCACGTAATTATTTATTTATTTATTATCTTTTTGCTTGATTTGTTACCGCTTACGCAGCTGATGTTAGAACCTTGGCACATATTAGTGATTGGGTAGAGGGGTTCAATTGTGTTCGGCGGTCACTGAATCCCTTTCGTGGTCGTCTTATAAACCTTTTATACTTTGGGCCAATCCACTTAGGCTATTTTTTTAACTTTAGAACATTTGATCTATTCCTTATGTAGCCTGGCCCATGTTGAAAACAATTCGGACAACGTTAGCCTACGCAAAATCAATCCTTCAGTTACTGTCGTTTAACTTCTGACTGTTTTGTTCTTGATTTTGTTTCATTAGTGTACGTTTTACCAAAAGTCTGTGACAGTAATCTGCCAAAATTTGCTCTACTGTCTGCCGCAAATCTACCTGCTGCTTCTAATTCATTAAAAAGAAGAAGCTTTATTTGATGGGTCATGAAGTGGGATAGATCCATAGTAGAGACTAGACTCAGCCCACACCTCTTGTCAAGCTCCTCCTGCACCACGATAATCATGAACAGGACCACTCTACAATAACAGCAATTAAGCCTCAAGTCAACCTTTCTCAATTAAAAAAAAAAAAAAAATCATAATTGAGGATTGGTTGCTTGTACCCAGAAATTTACAGGCAGGATATCCAAAACCCAAATTCACAATTTACTGGTATTTTTCATACCCTAAGTTTATCTCTTGAATTATTTGAAAGATGTAAGATGTTAGATTTATAAACAATTTACTCTTTGCTAGTCAGGGAACAAAGTACATTCTTAACTATGAGGCAAACTACCTCTGGCTCTTTCTAGCATAGACTAAATATAATTACAAAACAGTTCTTGTCCGATTTACAAAAGAAAATAGAATTTAGGTCTCTTAAATAACATGACCTAATTTTGATTCCGAGAATTAAGTAGGTAGTTATAGAAAATAAATAGACAATTATGGCTTACTAAGCATGGTCCTAAAGCTCGAACAAAACAAGATCCACAACTGCCCACAATTTGCTTCCTAAATAGACAAACAACATTAAATTAAAGGCAAACAAAAGCTATTATAAGCCATAGCATACTCCCAATCCAAGCTGCTTTCATGTTCGAAGGCACATGAATGGCTTATTTCTTTGACAAAGATTCCATAATCTTAAAGAAAGCTACGGGTCTTGAACGTTGTTTCTTCTCTCTTACCCCCACAAACACATGCACTTGATTTTGATCCATTCAATAACAACGACAACAACAACTAAAACTACTGTAATTTATTTCCCTCCAAATTCTTTACTGGCACTTTCCTTTTCTTTTTTTAACATGATTTAATTATCTCCTATGCGTAGACCCAAAAAAATGCACTTCATTTTTCAAGTAACAATTTATTATCTTGGTAAATAAATTCCTCTCGTTGCCACCAACCAAGAGACACAACCAAACTTCATCCCATAAACAACAAACACAAACAAAAGTTGAACATTCAAAGCTCTCTGTCCTGTCATCTTGTCCTTCATGTTCCCATTCCAATACCCTTCCTCTGTCCATCCCAAAATTTCATTTAAAAAAAAAAAAAAACAAACGATTTTTTTTTTTTTTTTTTTTTTGGGGAGAAGATAGTCTTATTGCAAGTAGGAGTAACAATTTTTTTTTTCTTTTGTACGCAACCAACTGAGCTAGCAACAAATTTCTATTGCTTGAAATCGTAGCTCTTTCTTTTTCTTTTGGCTTTTTTTTTTGGGGGGTTTCAGTTGTGGTGGTGACATTGATGATGCTAAGATATGGTCCTAGGGACCAATTACAGAGTCCCAAAGTTATCAAAACTGAACCAAATATTGTCATCACTTGCTGCTGTAGTAGCTATTCAATTTTCGCCGCTTGATCTCTGGCACTGTACTGCCATTGGTGATGGTGGTGGTGCTGATGGTGATGCCAGTGGTCTCACTCTCTGATTTTGTAAAATGCCCGTCTAGCACACTCAATGGGGTTCTGGTGCATGACATTGTATCTAACATTGACTCGCACCATTCCATCTCCACCATTTCTTGCACTGCATTAAAGCATTTTAGCAGCTTCTCCTAAACCATGATTAGTCCTTAATTAATTACCATCAATGCTGAGCAGAGAATATGTGTGTGTGTGTATATATATATATGGATAAACAAACTGAAACATTAAATCGTGGGGTGTTGGTTTTTTTTCTTGCTTACTTTATTTACAAATTCACAAGAGGAAATTGAGCACTTGAGAGAAGGGAATTGCAATGGGAGTAGTTCGTTGGATGCTACAAGAAGGGCTGATGCTGCAATAATAGATGGCTTGAACTCTAGAAACTTAATCTCTGCAACAAAAACATAAGAGTTAAATAAAAATAAAGGATTAAGCTAAAAGTAATTACGCAAGTTTGCGAGAGCAATGAGTTATTACCATTTTGAGCTTTTAAAATAATCTCTGTAGCTCTATCTTTGAGAGGTTGTGAGGATGATAGATCTTTGAGTTCAAGTACAGAAATAAAGAAATGCACAAAAGAGAAAGGTGTAATCGATCTCATTCTCCAATTCAAGGCATCAAGTATGAGAAGTTCCATGCGATGTGTAGTTTGTGTGTCAAAGATGAAACCAGCTTCCTCTCCCTGTTTCATAGTTTAAGTAATGCACCTAAGTTTCCATGGCCAACTTTGTATTACACTGTCAACTAATGAACTGGGAGATATGATTACCTGAAAATTGGAGACTGAGAAGTGTGTGTTCTTCATCTTTGCAGCTAGAGAAAGGCAAGAGATTACTAGAAGTCTAAGAATCCATGGCTTCCCTTGCTTCAAAGAACCAAGAATTTCAGCAAAAATAAATCAAGAATTCTAACGAAACAGCAAAAGACATTATCTATTTTAGTTCTTTTGCATACCGGAATTTCTTGCCTGCAAATGAATCGATCCATGTAATTAACAGCAAGGTAAGATATGAAGGGGTCATAGTTGCAAGAATATTGTGCCTGTCAAAAGCTAAGACAATATTATTACAGCACAAAACACAAGAGCAATAAAAGGAGGTTACAGTCATTAGTGTCGTGTTTTTACCTGTAAAATGAGAGAGATGGCTTCTTGACGAAAAGAGACAAAGAAGTCAGAGCTTTTCAAGCAGTGTAGGAAATTTCTTGACGGCATATGATCAGATTCAGAGGCAAAGAGATCTGGGATGGTATCAGATTGGTGTTCTTTCAAGCTCGTCAAAGGGTTTTCAAGATCAAACTCCATTTTTCACCTTTTGTTTTGCGTCTGTGTGTGGGTGTTTGTGTTTGTATGAAAATGTGTGTTTTTGTAAGGAAAGTGAGTCAAGAAGAGAAGAGAGGGAGTGTGAGAAAAGTAAGGCAAGAAGGTGAGTAGTAATAATGATGGAAAGAGAAGCTTCGCTTTCTGTGCTTAAAAAAAAAAAAAATAAATAAATAAAGACTCTGTTTAGTCTTCAGCTTCGCTTCTCAGTTTGCAGCTCCTCTTCCATTAACTTATACGTGTCTTGGTCCCTGCCTTCCTCTCTGTTGTTGGGAAAGAAAACAGTAACATTTATTGAATTCTTTTGTTTTTACAGTAGATCTCTATTCAGAATAAATGTCAAAATACTATGTTTAAACCAGCCCAGTAAAGGCCAAAAAGGGAAAGTAATTCCTTGGACCAAAATTTCTGAGGACTGAAAAAAGGGTTAATAATTCTGTTTGAGAAAATGGAAAATAATTGCAAGGATTTCAAAAATCGAAGAAGAAATAGAGATGGTAATGTTTGCACTAAAAGCAATACCAAGGGCAGTTAGCTCTACCTTATTTAGACTGTTGGTAATTAGTTTTAGGATCTTATCCCATGATGAACAACAATATCTTTGTTATGATAAACATCAAAAACAAAATAACTAATACCAAACAATAACTAAAAGATAAAACTAAATAAATTATCAACATAAAAAATTTATATGATTTGGCAAAATTGCCTACTCCACGAACGAGAGAAAAGTTTTTATTAACTTGATAGCAGAAAAATATAAGAACCCTGCAAGCTCAATATAAAGCTTTTGTCTTTCACGTTTCCTAAATAAAGATATAAAGAGATTTACCTTATATCTATAAAGGAAAAAATCTAATGGGTTAAATATATTATTGGCCCATAAAATTTAAAACATATATAATATTCTTGATTTGAGAAATTATGCCTCAAAATTACCCTTATCGCTCATCTTTCACAAAACACCATTAGAGTGGAAAAGAGATGATGCTTTTGTGTCTTTACGCCGTGTGACATTTTAATATATAATTAGAAATTCAAAAAATTCACAGCACTGATTACCTTTATAAATTTTCACTTCACTGATTGCTGATTTCAGCTAATGCTAACCCAACTGAAAATTTTTATTATTAGAATAATGCTATTAAGTAATCCAACTAAATGACTAATTAAGGGATCTTAAATACTCTCACATGTAGAAATGTTGAGACACTGAACCCAACTTTGAATCCTATCCATATATTATTTAACTCAAATCACTTTACAGATTTGCTCACTAAAAAATGGATAAACAGAAGACTTGAGTTGCTGAGTCAAACCGTTACCTCATCAACCGCATTATGCCCATTATTCAATCCCAACTTATTTTGTTTTACTCTTTAAAACACGAGATGCAAAACTAGGTACTTAAACTAATGTTTTCTTTAAGGAAAGGGAAAAAAAAAAAAAAACCTTGTGTTACTAAATAAGGTTGGAAGATTGTACCTACGAGCCTGTAGGTTTTTCCGGGGAGCTAAACTTGTGAAGGCTTGTATGTGAATTGTTGAGTTATCTTATATTCGTTGTAAAAAGAGTTCGATATTTAGCTACATGTCTGAAAAAAAATCTTTATTTTTTGAACTAGTTTTTGAGATTGAGAAAATTTAATAGTGTTCAACACTATTTCGATATTTGCTATAAGTCCAGCCCACGAGCACTCTTACCATAACCTATTATTAAAAGATCAATTAATGAAAATGATTGAAGTTAAGTAGAAAAAAAAAAACACGTGAAATTGGAAATGAATTTTTTTTTTTTCTTATTTAGACGAACACGCATATACTCTTTGCATATAATCTAAAGAGGCAACCGGAGAGAGAGAGGAAAAAAAAAAAACAAAATAAAACAAAAGATTATTGTGAAACTAAGTTTCTTTTTTTATTTTATTTTTTATGTTTAGCCGAGATATGCATATCCAAAAAGAGCAACGGGAGAGGGGAAAAAAGAAAAGAAAGGGTTTTCTTATTCTTTAATTTTGACAAGCTCTATAGGAAGAAAGTAAGGATTTTTTATCCACAAAATATTGAGGTTTTTTCTATTATTGATTTTAAGTACTACAATCACAAAGAATTATAGCATTCAAGGTAGTGCATTAAAATTTTCTTTTTTTGTTTTATTTTTCATGTTTAGCCGAGCCATACATATAACCTAAAGAGTGAAAAGAAAAGAAAAAATTCTTTTATTCTTTGGACAAATTCTATAGGAAGAAAGTAAGAATTTTTTGTATATAAAATATTAAAGTTTTCTCTAGTATTAATTCCTAAGCACTAAAATTGTAGAGAATTAGAGCATTCAATATGGTGATCTCATTAGTATTCGACTTTATAGAAAAATAGAGATTTTGCGGATTCTAAACTTTCATGGTGAGACGGATTTAATGAGACGGATAATTTATGTTACTCGTCAATATTTTTGCTTATGAAGTTAAAAAAAAAAAAAACTTGAATGATTGTGTTGCTTTCTTAATTATAGTGGATTATTTTGGCATTGTTCCTCTCGTTTTTTTTCCTTTATGATAAAGATGGTTTTGTACATAAATTAGGTGTTCTTATGGTTGATTTATTTTCTCGCTCTTGATTATTGCGTGTATTTAATTTGATTATTTTTTCACTACATCTAATTTGCACAAAGTGAGTTTAAATTTTTAACTATGGTATCGGATTTTTGGTTGGCATATTTGTGCAAATTAAATGGAGAAAGATAATTCAAGAATAATGATCAAACTAACTATCTTGAATTATTCAATTTGAAAGCCAAGGATGGAAAAACTTTATCATCATGATTTGTTTGATCCGATTGAATTAGGTAAAGCAAAATGAGAAAGACTAATGATACTTGGAAAAATGAGCATAGAAAAGCTATCAAAACTATTAGACGTTTGTTGAACTATATTGTGTTTCACAACGTATCCAAAAAGATAAATGTCATAGATGTATGAAAAAAATAGAGAGTGTGTACAAAAGGAACACTATATGAAATAAAATTTCTTTGATTAGGAAGCTTATAAATTTGAAATATTGAGATGAAAGGTCTATTGCTAAATAATTGAGTGACTTTCAAGACTTGATTAATCAATTGATAGTCATGAAAATAATGTCGGAGGATGAGTTACAAGCACCATTGCTATTATGGACATTGCTAGACAGGTTAGAAGACTTTAATTGTGACATTTGGTATTTCATTTTAAATAGTATTTTGTCGCTTTTCATAATTCAAAATAGCTTGTTCAATGAAAAAGCAAGTTAAAGTGAATGGTAGTAGATGATTCAAAATAGTCATGAAAATAATGTTAGAGGATGAGTTACAAGCACCATTGCTATTATGGACATTGCCGGACAGTTAGAAGACTTTCATTGTGACATTTGGTATTTCATTTTAAATAGTATTTTGTCGTTTTTCATAATCCAAAAGCTTGTTCAATTAAAAAGCAAGTTAAAGTGAATGGTAGTAGATGATGCACATGTTCTTGTCACGAAAAATAGATTAAGTAAGAATTGAGAATTTAGTGAGAATGATAAATCTAGAAGCAAATCACAATCTATTGGATGTTTTGTATGTTATCATTATGGAAGAAATGTCACATCAAAAGAAATTGCAAGGCATGAAAGAAAGAATAAAAAGATTTAAAGAATCGAGTTAAAGACAATGAGAACACCATTGAGGTATTAATTTTAAATCGGAATGCAATGATGCTCTCATATAGATAGGACAAGTATAATGTTGTAGATCTTTATGTTGAATGGGTTGTTGACTAAGACATTGCATGATATGCAATTTCTAGAAGGGATTCTTTATTGTGTACAAAGCATGACATTTTGACAAAACAAAGATGGACAATAATAGTTATACTAGTGTTGTAGGAGTTGGTGATGTGTGCATAAAGACATGTACAAATTATACATTGATTTTGAAGAATGTGTTGCATGTACTACATTTATGTATAAATCCGATTTCTACTTATGCCTTGGATATTGTTCGATACTATAATTATTTTGGTAGTAGAAGATGAAAACTCACTAAGAAATCAATAGTTGTTGCTAGAGATAATATCTATAATAAATTATACAAGAAAAAAAGGTAGTTGATCATACTTGAGAAAATTGTAGTCAAATATATAATTTCTCTTAAATTATGGTCTAGACGACAAACTTTTAAAATGAATGAAAAACGATTAACAAAGAAGTATTATGTTACTTTTGCCAATGAGATTGCCATATACAAGAGAGTGTTGAATGAAGAACATAAAATTGATATTGAACCAATAATTGATAATGATGATGATATGGATACGAGAAATGATATGCATAAAGATTAAGATTCTCTACTTGATAATGTATAACATGAGGTGAGTAGGTCTATTTAAGTTATCGCATTAGTTTCTTCATTATAATAGATTATTTCAGAATTGATCTCGTGGCTTTTTTCCTTTATGATAAAAAGGGTTTTTGATGTAAATTTGGTGTTCTTGTGATTGATTTAATTTATACTTTTGATTATTATATGTGCTTATTTGATTATTTTCTCATGACATCTAATTTGTACGGAGTGAGATCAAATTCACAACATGAATAACATCATTTTTAATCCTAAAACCTAAATTATTAGGTTATATGTTTTTCTTTATTTATACGTTCTCTAAACTTCTTATTCTCGAGCTTATGAGATTCTTATTCACATATGGAATTCAAAAATCTTTCTCAATAAGCTTTGATAGTAATTGTTAAAAAAATCTACACTTAAAAAATCTTTATGTCTATTGTTGAGCTTATTCTTGCTTGGCTTTATGTTGATGAATAAATATAATTTTTTTGCTTAAAACCTAAATCATTAGATTATAGATCTATCTTTAGGTTAAATATGGCTTGAATTTTATGAGCTAATAATATATTTAGCCCATTAGTTTTTTTTTCTTTATAGGTATGAGGTATTTAAACCTCGTTATGTCT